TGCTATTTGAGTAGGGGCTAAGGGTGCCAAGTGGCGCCCACGATAGGTGGGGGCCTGTGTGCCATTTTTTCTTACACTACGTGATTGATTTGAAACTAGTTGCCATTTTTTCTTACGTTATGCCATTTTTTCTTGAGCCGTGCTGCACGTTTTTTTTAGTGTTGAATCAATAAAACTCTTTTAAGTACAAAAAAAAATTATTTTGATAGAATTAATATCGACGTTTATGTGATCAAATTTGGCCCTCGTTTGGCCCCCATCATGTGGCAATTACAATTTTTGGAATAATTTTTTTTTAAAAAAAAATGTATGATTGAAAAAGAAGGAAAATTTTTCGATTTACGTGTAATAATATTTTACTAATGATTGTGTGGTTGAAAATTAGAGAGAGAATAATAATTTTTTTGGATAATGGGAGCCAAATGGGGGGTGGATTGACTTTTTTTTCCTATCTTTCAATGTTGTTATACCAAATGTTATTTGTCAAGATTTTCTATTAAAAAAATATGTATAGCATGAATGGTATTGAATTACCCCTTATTTGATTACCATTGTTTCTAAAATATATTTCTCTCTCTTTTTCATTCACACGCTTTTCAATAAAATAATATTATACGTAAATCTAAAAAATTTTCCCCATTTTTTAATAACATATTCTCCATGAACTTACTATTTCAATGCATTCTGTACGAAAAAATGGGGCTTGAACAATACATATATTTGATGATGACAAAAAATATTTAAAAATACCATCGAACGGATATTTAATTAATTGGGATTGCTTGAAAGACACATTACTCTATTTGGATTGGATTAAAATTCGATTAAAATCTCACGACAAAGTTAACCATTAATTATAACAATATATTTCATGTGACCTACAACGAGGGGCGGACGCAGAACTTTAACTTTGGTGGGGGGGGGGGGGCACAATCGAACTTGTAAAGAAGTTGGTCAAATTTTTACAATCAAAAATTTACGTCCAAAAAAATCATACTCTGTAATTTTACACCTAAAAATTTACATGAGATATGACTTTTTCGGATGTAAAATTTCGAATTTTTTTGAAAATTTCCTAATAAAATGATGAAAATTATATTGAGAAATTTATGTAGTAAAAATAATAAATGTTAATAAAATAATTGAATTTTTTTAAAAAAAAATGTTAGTTAGATGTCATTTAAAGGCTCACGTTTAACGTATTTTTAACTATTTTCGATATATGTTTGAACTAGTCGATATGTCCATAATATAGTTCTTGAAATAAGTTTCGAAATTATATAAGCAATTTGTAGATTCGATTAGCGTATGATCGTCGGAGAATTATTAAAATTAGTATATTTCGAAATTCAAATTTATTTTGATTTTGCCCCTATTTGGTAGAGATTAAAATCAAATTTTTAGTAAATTTTGATAAAAATTAAACAGTTATGGATTTCATAAAATATGTTATTAAAATTAATNTTAGTTTTACTTTTATTACTTAATTTATATTAAACGGTTTCTCGAAGTTAATCTCACATTTTATGGTACGTACAATTTTTCAACCACATATTTCATCAATTTTTATTAAAATCTATTAAAAATCTAATTTTAATATCTACCAAACAGTTACTTATATCCCATTGACCACAAAAGACAACCTCCTAAAAGATCATGCACTCCAGCAATAATGGAGTGAATCAGTCCCCACTCTTAAATCATGTGCAGAAATACCATTTCTTAGATTATTAATGACATCTCACCAAGTGACTCTATACGTCAAAAGTGACCCCATTCGGAAATGTCGTGGTCCAAAAGAGGGATCTACAAATAGCAATCCCATGTGATTTATATTGCTATTTTGATGCCTTCTTATAGTAAGTATATTGTAACGACATTATAAATTAACGTTATATTATTCGCGTGTTAGAATTTATGACAATAATCTAAAGTTCCATGATCATATGAAATAACAAATTGTATACTTGACAGTTTGGATATAATGAGACACATTTCGTTATATGATCAAAGATATGTCGTTCACAATCGATATATGAAGTTGGACGCTTTATATTGATAAGATTGCATTGTTCTTATTGAGATTTGTCTAAACTTGAGAATAAGAACAACAACGTGTTTTGAAGCACGTTGAACAGGACCACATGGATGACTCATTTGTGACCGATCAAAATGAGACGTCACTTGATTATCGAACAATTCACCTAAATCCTGAGCAAGTAATGTACCTTTAATTGCTAGTTCTAGTTATTTGAAGTACCAATAAGTGAAGTCTTAAATTAGAAGATCAATCGCGTTACTTTGGGAATTTGGGCAAAACGGTTAGAGATCATATACATGCAATAGTGGAATTCGTTGATCATCATGATGAGAAGATCGTCACTCTAAGATATTTTCTAAAGTGTTTTCTTCCAAATCAGACGAGCGATCAAATCTAAAGTTATAGAACAGCCTCAAGAGATAACATTTACTAGGCATAGTCTTAGTCAGATAAAGTGATTCTAGCTTATTCCAAAAGGTCTGAGTAGAGTTAGTTTCACCAACTTTCCTAATCACATTATCAAACAGATGCAAGAAAATTAAACTCCATGCAGTATCATCTAATTCTTGCCTCCTATAGGCATTAGTCTTTGTACCCATCGAACATCAAGGGCTGCAGCACACCTTTGTTGAAGTAAAAGAGCCCTCATCTTCTGGCGCCAAAGACTCAAGTCTCCAGTACCATTCCATGTCTCAAGTTCAAACTTATGTGCAGTAGACATGATGACGGATAATATTCTTATCAATGCAATTCACAGATCAAGTAATCACAATTCAGAACAGCATAGTTACAATTTTGAAAGAGGTTAACTTATGTGCAGTAGACATGATGATGGATAACATGCTTATCAATGCAATTCACAGAACAAGTAATCGCAATTCAAAATAATATAGTTATAGTTTTAAAAGAGGTTTAAGAGGTGGCAAACCCACTGCTCCCTCAGATTCCCAAGCCCTCACAGGAGGTCTTGGACAAATAAAAGCAATAGAGAATTGCTTACCTTAATAACCAGTTTCAAGAACTGAACGATGCTATCAAGAGTAAAGAGGGTGTTTAGAAATATTACTAAAATCTGAAACCTCAATGTTTCAGAGTGGGAAGAGCATGAGCAGAATACCAAAATCACATCCAGGAGCCCAAAACGAATGCAAGAAAACAGTGAGTCACAAACTCAACCATGAATCGGAATGAGTTGCTCCAACTCGCCGACTCAGTACGAGGCAAAAGCAAAAATAACAATGACTCAGTACAAACACAGGGTTAACCAGGATTTACAGCGAGTTAAGACGAGTGAATAAGGAAAAATATTTTTTTCTCACAAGAACTATTTGTCTACCCCAAGAACTTAAGATCTACACCAAGAAACCAAAAATAGAAAACCTTATCATAGAGACAAGGCTCTAATACCACTTGTAAGGCCCTAAACTAACAATACTAAAGGATCGAAGTTCACAAACCACAAATAATATGCAAAATCATAAAAGAACACTAACACAAGACTTTTCACCCCGTAGGGTCCGGATGTTCAGTCACAAAGACCTAATCACCCGTTGAACATCTGCAAAAGATATAGCTGTAGATCCACTAAGTATAGAGCAAGAATCAGTACAATGTCTAAAGAAACCAAAAGGTTACTTCAAGTTTAATCTCGCTTCAAAAATACAGAACCGTAATCACAAAGAATCAACCCCTAATCTATACACCATATACAGACTTCACAAAGTAAAGGATTGAAGTAATTACTAAGATCGATTACGATTACAAAACCATGAAACCCTAAACTTCACTCAGAGAGAACAAGGGAAACAAAGAGACGAAGAAAGAATAGAAGACTCTCGAATGCCAGAGTCTCAAAAGCCAAGTCAACCAAGTAATATGAACAGTTAGCATCCAAGGGTAGAGCATCAGCCACGTGTACGCTGATTACATTAGTTCATGAGGCCAACAACCCGTTTCACTTAACAGTCCAAACAGCAAACAAGGTCCAACCCAAAGTATAGTGAGGCAGCCCAATATAATTAACAATTCTCGGGCCTTAGAGCAATGGCTGAACGCATTCTCTAGTGCGACCCATATGTCGCATGCAGTGGAGAGGACAATCACCTCGGCCATGGCTTCCTCGATGAGAGAGGAAAGTAACAGACAGAGAAGATGTTGATCAGTAGCTTTCCATGACAGGTATTTGTCACTTGGCATGAGAGAGGAGGCAATGTCAAGTTTTGGAGGCTGCAAAAGGGTACCATCAACATGTCCTAATAAATCTTAACTCTCAAGAAGGGGGAGGAGTTGGCTTCTCCAGAGGAGATAATTTGAGGAGGAAAGTTGGATAGTGATCATGTGGATTAAGGTATTGAAGAGAAGGGTGGAAGATGTTTCGGAAGCCATGAGAAGAAGAAGAAGATCAGTGGTCTGCTAAACTAATTTTTGCTCTGATACCATGAGAATGATTGAAATCCACCTTGCATCCAGTGGGAAGTTGTATTGCTTTATATAGATATTTACAACTAGTGTAAATGGAATACAAATCAATGATTGCACAATGAAATGGAAAATATACAAATAAACCTTCTGCAATTACGTGATTATCTTTGGCATGTATGGGAAGACTTTGATTGAGGAGACGAGGAGTGATATCCTCAATCACAGTAATATCTCCAACACTCTCTGACCATGAAGATGAGGTTCGTGAAAGAAAATTTGCATCCTTGCGAGGATTTAACTATTTTACTGATTGTTTCATAAAATGTGATAATTTCATACTTGAAGACCATGTAAAGAATACTATCCATACCCACAAATGAAAACTGAGAATGCCAAATCAAATATATTAATAAGTATAAAAAATTAATTCAATCAGAATCCTATCAGCGGATATAATTCATTGAAGATAAGACTAAAATGAATTTACAAATGGACATTAATCAAAGATTTCGACTCATCTCAGCACATATACTAAAATCTACGTTTGATTTAAGCAAGCTATTTGAGGAACCATCGTTCCTTGTGCTCTTCCATAAGCATTGTTGCATGCAACAGAAGCTCTTTTATTGTCATTGTGTTGAAGGAAAATGCTGTCCAGAACAATTTCCGTACATGGAACGGACGCACTGCATGCTAAGTTCACTGCAGGTTGATTTGACGAGGTTCCAAGTATTTGTCTAAATGTGATGTTGCTAACTTTTAGTGCTGATTCCTGTAAGAAAAATACCTCGTGTGACGACTCGACTATTTATGGGAAGATCAATGTTCTATGAATAGAATCACTAACATGTGTAAAACATTCCATGTGATCACAGTAGAATTGGTCGATATTAATGACTTTACTCGCTTCTTGACTATAGATTCTCTCGAAGATCATGTTTCTAGCATAGCCACTGCCTCCCTGAATTACAAATTGTTAAAAAAACGAAAATTACGGACATGTTAGAGCATAGTAAAGAGAGAGAACACGATCACATCAAAAATCAAAGGATGCGAAACATTAATACCTGCCATGTCTTTATTCTAGCACCATTCATGGTTCCTATGAATACAACATCACTAACTTCAACATATTCGACTGTTTCATGGCTTTCATGCTTGCCTAAACTTCCAATGCTGTGTCAAGATAAAGGAAAAATCAGGCTCGGGTAAAGGTTAAACTATTAGTTATTAAATCGCATACTAAGGAGATCATGAGTTTTACCTTATGCCATGCCCCGGTCCACATATGATGTCGCTGATCTTCAGATGCGATGATCCTGTTACTATGGAAATGCAATCATCGCCTGCATTTTGAATGACGCGAGGAAGTTACAAGACTAACAAATGAAAACACGAACAGTTTCCAAGAAGTCCAAGTACCTGTCCCAATACGGCAATGATCAAGGACGACATTAGTGGACCCCGCAATGTGGATGCCATCGGTGTTTGGACTATCTCCTGGACTATCAATCGTTATATTGGAGACAGAAACTGATGATAAGGTATCCAGGACAACATGCATGTGAGGAACATCCTTAAAGGTAAGACCACTTAGAGTAACATTGTTAGATGATGATATCTTTAAAGCCTGCCGTTGAAGAATTTCGCGAGGGGTAAAGTCTATTATACAAAAATTGTGAATATCAAAAGAGTTAGTATAAGGTTCGAAAACTTACATTTGGCCTCGAGTCGAGCTGCAAAAAGTTGGAAATATATTCTATGTTAGAAATTCGAAATTGAAGTTGAAAAATAAAGACGAATATGCAATAGACAAATTGTTTATTGAATTGACAGATTTAGGGAGTAAGAAATATATACTCGATAATTAACAAGGTTAGAATTGGGATCGACACTAAATCTCATGACCATATATCTAAAGTCTTAAACTAATATTAGAGACGGGATAATTTACCTTCATAGTACTCCACCATTTACTTCCACGGCCGTTTATTACACCATGTCCAATGATCGACAAATTATCGACATATCTAAAATCCATCCAATTATCGCAAGCATTATTGTTGCATCTCCACTTTGACGGTTCACTTGGTGCAATTAGATTTCCATTTATCTGCAAAATTAGTTCATAAAAATTAAAATAAAATACGAAGAATAATATAACATGAAACTATAAATACTGATAGTTAATCATGGGAAATTGAGCGGCCGATTTGATCCATCCCGTCAACTGCCTGAACCGGCACAGGGCACAGAGGAGTGTTTGGATCGGTCCGTCATGTTTTTAAAGGCCCGAACCGGCTCATTGGCCTGTCCTACAGTTATATTTAATTTTAAAATTTTCTATTAAACCAAAAATTTCCAAATTACTGCCTTAAATCTACGCAGATTCATTTTCGCGTTAAGGAGTAATTGATTGTCTTATTTAAAAGACGACATTCAGTTTCAAAAATAAAAAATAGCGAACGGGTTCGATAATTTGGCAATAAATGGAAGTCCTTTTTTCAATTTTTTTTCTCACATCGTCGCGGGTCGATTACCAATCCAGTACTGTCGATAGTCGCCATGTGACATTTTCTTATTTGATACCTGAGGTAATAAAAAAGAGAAATGTTATTCATCTCCGGTGGGATGCATCCCTATTCTATGTGGCATTAAATGATAGGTGAAATTAAATAAGTCATTTAATTTCACCTATCATTTAACCAATTATTTACATCCACATAGATTGAGGATACATCCCTACTGAGGATGAATAGCATTTTTCAATTAAAAAACTACAACATTAATGTATCAAACAATAAAATGTCACATATATGCATGTAGGATGATTATCGATAGTCCTAACTACGAATAACATTATTCTTCGATTAATTTATAACCATTGAAATAATACCTCAACGTTAATAATTTTGTTATTGCAAGGGCCATCCAAATATAAAGGATTGATCAAGAACGTCTTCCCCGAAGGAACTTCCATCGTTGAAGAAGTAGACGACGACTTGCATGTTGCTTCCCATGCTCAGCAGATTCATTTTCGCGTTAAGGAGCAATTGATTGTCTTATTTAAAAGACGACATTCAGTTTCAAAAATAAAAAATAGTGAAGGGGTTCGATAATTTGGCAATAAATGGAAGTCCTTTTTTCAATTTTTTTTTTCACATCGTCGCGGGTCGATTACCAATCGAGTGCTGTTGATAGTCGCCATGTGACATATATGTGACATTTTCTTATTTGATACCTGAGGTAATAAAAAAGAGAAATGCTATTCATCCCCAGTGGGATGCATTCCCAATTTATGTGGCATTAAATGATAGGTGAAATTAAATAAATCATTTAATTTCACCTATCATTTAACCAATAATTTACATCCACATAGACTGAGGATGCATCTCCACTGAGGATGAATAGCAATTTTCTTATCCTAATGTTACATTATCACAAAATACCAATTTATGTGGCATTAAATGATATGTGAAATTAAATAAATCATTTAATTTCACCTATCATTTAACCAATAATTTACATCCACATAGACAGAGGATGCATCCCCACTGGGGATGAATAGCATTTTTCAATAAAAAAAACTATCACATTAATGCATCAAATAACAAAATGTCACATATATGCATGTAGGACGATTATCGATAGTTCTCACTACGAATAACATTATTCTTCGATTAATTTATAACCATTGAAATAGTACCTCAACGTTAATAATTTTGTTATTGCAAGGGCCATCCAAATATAAAGGATTGATCAAGAACGTCTTCCCCGAAGGAACTTCCATCGTTGAAGAAGTAGACGACGACTTGCATGTTGCTTCCCATGCTCGTGAAAAAGCCTACAACAAAAAGAATTCAATAAAAAGTTGTTTCGTATTCAAACTTTAGAATCGAGCACGGTAATACAATATCTTACATTGGTGTCATCCGTTCGACCATTACCGACTGCACCAAATTTAATCACATTAAACTTCGTATCCGAATATGTTAATCCGAACAGTGGAACACTAAATGTAAGAACCAACAAAAATAATTTCAATAGTTTCTCCATTGCTATATAGAAGAACACTCAACGAAGTTGAGAATTAGGGTTTGTGAAAACTATTAAAGAGAGAGTTACAGAGAAGTACGTAACATGGACAAGGTTTATATATATATATATAAGGTTCTAATTTGGTTGAGGAGAAGAATTTGATTAGGAAAAGGAATTCTGGTGGTTGAAAATTGTCAAGAAGAAACAGAGTTCTACTTCTGTTGAAAGTTGGAATAAAAATGATTTGCAGATTTAAGTAATTATTAATGACTCAGGTGAAAAGAGTTGTGAACAACCTGAAACTCTTATTAAAAAAAAATCAGCTACGGATCAAAAACCGGTTAAAACTGGATCAGTAGCTCAAATGGGTCAGTCCAAACACCATTCTGGACCTAGCTTGTTCAGACACTTTGCTGAACGGACCGGGCAGAGATTTTCCCTTATTTTTGTGATGTAAGATTGGTATAAAGTCTGTAGACGCAAGTATTTTTAGTGACGTCGACATTTTTCATAAAATCTCGTGTGAATCTTTGAAACATGGAGAGATACTAATTTATAAATGTGGATATTAGTTGAAAATTAGATTTTTTTTTTTAATGTCTTATTCGAAAAGATGGCAAGCTAATCCGTAGTCCCAACAACATGTAGTTGTTATTTGTTTATTTATAACAATATATAGCATTGCATCATCATTGTTAAGTTCAAATATTTATTAGCCCCCATAGTAGTAGTACATTGAATAATCAAGTAAAAAAATAACATGTTATAATTGTAGGTCATATATATATATATATATAAGAAAGTTCAAATTCCCCTCAATTCAATTGATGATTATATTCAAAATTCTTTTAGAGGATTAAAAGAAGTATCATCTAACTCTCAAAATACAACACTTGCATCAAAAACATTTCAAAAACCCCTCAAACAATTCCAGAAAACAAACCCTCAAATTACCGTAAAGCCCTTCAAATTGATCCCAGAAAATTACCAAATGTAATTCCTCCAAAATCATTTTCATACTTCACAAAACCCATCCATCTTTTTGTTTTCGAAATGGAAACATTATGGGCTCAAAGAAATTCTTCCCTAGAAGAACACCTTCAAGATTTTTCCTCCCAAATTTTCATTTTCTCTCTTCAAACTTCAAAAAATCTCGTGAATATTATGAAGCAGTCCTTATCAAAACAGGAGCAGCTATTATTACTCACACTCCAAACAACAAGAATTCAAAGTATATTGATTTTTCAAAAAATATATATCCAAAAGGCATGGTCTTGAAGACTGGAGACTGCACCCCTTGGGAAGATAAGCGAATGAATATATCAAAGACAGATTCATTTGAAACCAAATTCAATTATTTGGACTACAAAGAGACGTGGTTCAATGTTTTCTTTTTTAGACCAGTGACACATTCCTAGTTTATACTTTTTCATCAAAATTGCCCATCAAACTTTCCCAAATGATTTCAAAATTGGTTCGAATTTTTTGGATTTGACGAAACGATTTTGTCCAATCTTACTCGTCAAGGATTCGAACACTTCAAAAAAATGGCAAAAACCTTTTTAAAGTCTCAAGAAAATCTTTTGTTCCAATTTACTCATAACCTCAAGGTTTCGTGGATATTCTATTGAGACTTTCACTTAATTCAAAGTCAAAACCTGCCACAGTACAAAGATTACAATGTCAACAGAATTGTTAGAGGTTTCAAAATAAAATGGCGGTCAAAATTCTATGAACCAAAGCAGTTAATTCATGGATTCTTGAACAAAGGAATTTTGGTATTCCAAAATTATCTCAAAAAGAATCAACTAAAAAAGCCGATTTCTTTGCAGAAAAATCTAGATTTTTAGCAATGTTCAATCAATGTTCTACAACATGAATGAAGGTATGCAAATGTTTGAAATATTGTTCTAAACTTTCTGAAAAGATTAAAACATCATCAATGTAAACAATAAGCAGAAACTGCAAGTCCATTTTGTTTGATAACAAGTATGAATGTATGCAAATGTTTCAAATGTTGTTCTTAGCTTACAGAAAAGATTAAAACATCATCAATGTAAACAATAATGAAATTTTGAAATGGATTGAAAATATCATTCATAATTTTTTGAAATTCAGAAGGGATTTTTGAGACCGAATGGCATAACATTTCATTCATATTGATCGAAATGAACATTGAAAGCAATTTTGTATCTATCTTCTTCTTTAAAGCAGTTTCCTTATCAAAATGTGTAAGTATTTTTTCCTGTTGGTGGAGGTTGCGTTGGCAGGTTACCAATGGTTTTGTGGGTGTGGGTGGATAAGGAAAGACGAGTCTTTTCTTTATATTTTTGTTTTTCAATTTTTTTAATTTCTTTTTGTTTCTTTTTTTAATAGTTTTAGTTATTTAAGTATTGAAAACTATTTTCCCCTTTATTAAAGTGGCCAATAGAAGGTCAATTTATGGAATTTTGTTCAGATAGAAGTCATTTGGATGGAAATCATTAAGAGGTCCTTTGAGTGCATATTTATTGGAAGATTTGAAATATAGATGCCAATATTAGAAGGTTTGGACCCCACAATTTATTTTTTAAAAGGTTTGGGACCTATGTTGCAAAATTTCCTTATTTTTATTAAGATAAATTACAAATTTCATCCCTAATCTTGCCAAAAGTTGTGATGTTGTCCTAACCACTTTTCGTGTGGCTTTGGCCCTGAACCTTTGAGAAATTAGCGAACTTGAACCTATAATATTTTCCATGCAAAAATCAGTTAAATTTGTGCAAAAGGACAATCTTTTCCTAATATAAACATTAAACAATAAGAAGAAAAAAATAAAATGAAAAGCAAAAAAATAAAAAATAAGCAAAAACGAAAAGATAGAAAAAATAATGATACTTGTATATAATGAGTTATATAATAATTTACATATATATGGTGTATCAAAAAAAGTGTGGAAGTTTTTAATCGAAGAAAGTCCAAGTCAATCATCTCTCAATATCATCTGTATGTAAATTATTATGTATATGTAACACAACCCCCATACCCCACGCACGAGGTCATCGCCATCCCCCACCCCTATTGACGGAAACCAGAGTGGTCGTCGATTGCAAAAACCCTCAATTTATTCCGCACCATCTTGGGGCCATTGTGTTGTAGCCATATGCCTCCCTAACTTTATCAATGAGCCTCTGCAATAGAGGATGATACAGATATAAAATTGGGATAACAAATCTTTGAACTATTCCTTCATTTACATATCATGTGCAAATCCCACTTTCACTGCCACCCACCCTTTCTTCACCTTCATCTTCTCCCTCTTGCAAATCATCAAACGTGTATGTGTGCGTATATATGGATATACTAAAATTACGGTGCTTAGCTTATATTAGATTGGGGGTGGGTTTCGTGGCCATTAGGGGCCGAAAGGTTTCCGCTGATTGGGGTTGGGGGTTTCAGGGGATGGTATGGGGTGTGGATGGGGTAGAAGAGACTTTTTTTTGCCTCATTTTGCTTATTTTCTATTTTTTTTCTTCTTGTTTTGCCTATTATTATTATTATTATTATTATTATTATTATTCTTGTTGTTGTTGTTGTTGTTGTTGTTGAATAAATTAAAGGTCAATATCCTCATTTTACAATTAATAAAAATTGGATGGTGACCGTCTATAGGGATCAAGTCTACTAATTTCTCAAAGGACAGAAAATCAGACCAAAAAAGACTAGGGATGTGATGGCAATTTTTCAAAAGGTCAGGGATAATATTTGCAATTTACCCTTTTTATTACATATTCCAACATTTTACAAAATTATAATTATGATGTAAAAATTGTTGTAATAATTTCAATATCAATAATTAGACAAATAATTATAATTCGCTGGACTTATTGTATGCTGATTTTTCCTTCCGACGACTATTCGTAATATAATGATCTTTCCTAATGAAACTTGACCAATTAGAGATAAAAAGTAAGAAAAAAACATTAACTTTTGCTAGGAGAAAAAGACATTTGAAGTTTAGCCTCCTTAACCAAGAAGACTTCGACTCTACTTATTACGTGGCTGTTTGTTTCTGATTTTTTGTTCAAAAAAATTGATTTCTTAACCGTAAAAAATTGATTCCTTGACCGTAAAAGTCATAACACCCATGTGAGGAAAAAGTCAAAAAAAGGGGGCTACCAAGGGTAAATAAAGGACATAAAATCTTGCTTATAATTTCTCCCAGACATGCCCTACAAGTATCACAACATATCGTAATACTTGTATTATTATTATTGGTACAAAGTTGATAAAATCAAAGTAAATTTTTATATAAATCTATTTTTCTTAATTTTGAGGTAAGATCATGTGAGGAATACTGATCAACCCACCATCTACCACCAAGTCATGGCCGGTAATAAATGCAGAATCTTCAGAGGTAAGGAATATAACAGCATCAGCTAGATGTTTAACTGTCAGTACAACTCCTTTCAAGCTAGTGAATGGCCCAAAGACTTTTTGAATTACCTCTTGACTTGTGATGCCTATGCTTGCTGAAAGTGGAGTTAAGGTCATCGATGGAGATACACAGTTAACCCTAATTCCATGCACACCAAGTTGTTGGCCAGCAGTTCGGACAAGACCCACGACAGCATTCTTGGACATGGTGTAGTCTGTCACATTTACCGACCCTCTACAGTTATTGGCCACCGCACTCGACGTGCAGACAATGGTCCCCCTCACATTCTTCTCCACCATCGCACGTGCAGCGTGCTTCACGCAGATAGCCATACCACGGACGTTGACTTTAAACAGATTATCAAACCCCGAGAAGTCAAGATCGAGTATTGTTTGTTCACCTTTACTTGTTATTCCTGCATTGCTGAACATGATATCGAGTTGTCCATATTTTTGCACCGTCCAATCAACCACGTTTTTCACTTGTTCTTCATCGCTAACGTCACAGTGCAGATAGCTGCACCTCTCTAGGCCAATGGATTCGGCCACGATTTGACCTTTCTCATCTTGAAGGTCAATGATTACAACTGCCCGTGCCCCATGATCAGCAAAAGCATGAGCAGTCGCCTCCCCGATGCCGCTTGCACCACCAGTGACAATTGCAACTTTGCCTTCTAGCTTTCCCAAGGACGAAACTGATCCATTGTGTGCCATTTTTTATTTTCAAAATAATCGAAAAAGTAGATCAGATTTCTTAAGGATTGGATGCTATTTACCAATACAGCTTTAAACTTCAGTTGCTGCTCATTTATAGGATTTTATTAGGACTTGTTTAATTACTGGGTCCAAGTCGGCTGCGGCCCGCTGCTGATTTTTCTTACATACCAATAATACTAAGATTTTTTTAATTAAAAAATATCACGTTCCAGAGAGGTAAATTATTGAGGGAGGGTGTACACATTTTTTGACTTAAAAGGATAAGGGTCAGAATTCTATACTACGAAAAAATAGACATATAAAAACACACAATATTTAAAATTATAATATTTAAATTCTAATAACGACTTCCTATTTATAAAAAAAATTAGGATAAAATTGAAATTATAATTTAGATGAACTGAACAGAATTTATAAGTCGATCATTCGATGTCCTTTTTGCGTCAAACTATTTCACATTGACTTGAAGTGTGCTACTCGTTTAGTTCCACTAGTACGAACAAAATGCTCACTAAACGTTTGACATGGCAAGAATTACGGATTCTAATCACTCAACTCGATGTTAGCTATTATTTGAAAGAATTAAACTATCTTGTACACTCTCCGTATATATTAAGCCCCTGTAATAGTCATTATTTGGGAAAAACAAAATTTTAAATAATAAATTTTTAGAAAATGTACAGTTAAAAAGTAAGGAAAATTTTACGTACGAAATATTTTATTGTATAAATGTATGGTTAAAAATGAATATGTAAAATAAAAAATTTTGAAATAATGGTTGTGAAACAAGGGCTAAGTTTGACATTCAAAGATGTGTCAAAATTTGTATCATTGATTATTTAAAGTGTCTTTAAAATCAAAGTATAATAAGCCGCCACCTCACAACAATATCAAACTTAACGTATATGTAGCAAAACTAATTTTGAAAATATACAAGTCATTCTTTTTAATTTTTTGGGAAGAATGAGTTTTGTAATAATAATTTTCTGAAGATCGTGTGATGAAAAAGTAAGAATAAAATATTTTATTCATGTGAAAAATATTTTATTCATGTGAAAATATATGATTGAAAATGAGTACGAGAAAAAAAGAGTATTGATAAAATGGTCATCAAACATGGGCTAGATTAAATTATTTTGGAGCGATATGATTGAGATATGAGATAACTTTGAATGGTATAGAAAATGGTAGACTGTATTGTTAATCTAACTCTTGACTGCCCTCCAAATTTGACATAAGAATTTAAAATTTATCCCAAGAAATGAAGAAAATTGATTTGCCAACAACTTTAAAGTAATAAAAGGTGGTCTAGTCAACAGATTTAATATGACTGGATTCACTGAATGAGTGAAGAAGTGTGTATAAAAATAATGAGAAGTGATCATCAAAGCATCAGTCATAGTCTAACTATTAAGATTTGGAATAATGTTATTCATTCCAAGTGGGGATGAAAATACAGTCTAGTTGGTGTTAAATAATAGGTTAAATAAAAGGTAAAATTAAATGATTTATTTGATTTCACCTATCATTTAATGACATATTAACGCCACCTAAACTGTGTTTTCATCCCCAGTGGGGATGAATAGCATTACTCTAAGATTTGGAGTTTCATCTTAAAAAATCAATCTTCTTAAGAGTAACCCAATATTATATAAATTGGTTTATATTTTCATCTTTATTTGATATGAGATTTTATCCCTTAATATGCACATACAAGATAGTGGCTCGTTTGAGCAGACCAATCTTGAAATCCCTATGCTCAAATTTTTTGAGTCTTAATCGGATCGAATTGCTCATTGGAGCTTAACGGGCTCTAATACTATGTTAAGATTTGAGATTCCATTTTAAAAGGTCAACTTTATTAAGAGAAGTAGCCAAATCTTTTATAAGTTAGTTTATATTTTCATCTTTATTCGATATTGAATTTTATCTCTTAACACTAACATGGTACCTTATAAAGAATTCAATTTTAATTTTTTATTATTTGATAATGTTAGGTTTTTAGTGTTGACAATTCTGTGGACAAATGACTAATTTGTAACGTGATTTAAAAGTCAAGAACTTAGGGTGCAATTTGTATAAATTAGGTAAGTTAGAGTTTGAGTCATTGAAGGAGTCCAAGATATCCAAGAAGATCGTATATAATAAAAGGAATGCAATTAGAAGTCTAAAGAGTATCAAAGAGTC